TACTTTTTGGAGCTACATTTTGATGTCTGGTTTAAACACTGACATGGGGAAGAATGTAGATTTGATTCATATTATCTGTGACAGTAATACAATGCTCTCCAGTAGAGAAAAGACAGAGCATTAATGCAACAACACAAAGGAATAAGTGGAGACACAGGAAGCTTTTTTTTGCTGTTCTGGCACCTTTAGCGAAAATGTGGGACACGGCCAATCTTAGCCTTTATTTTGCTTTGGGGGCCGCCTCTCCATATAAAACTACTGATATCACTTCAACACAATGATTACTGCTTAAAAACAGAATGTGATTTTTCTTTTTATAAGAGAAAAAGACTAATTTGATGCCTATTATAAAAGAATGTGCTCAGATCTACTGCATATGCTCTTCTGTTTCAGTCTTTTGTGTTTTCATTTGCAATAAAATGTTGTGTTTGCTCTGTGTGCTCATATTTTCACAAACTAAGCCATTTATAAAAGGCCATAAATAATTGAAAAAAGGTAGGCTTCGATTTCTATATCACCAAAGACTCTACATGAATTAATTCCAAAAGTTACAAAATAAACCACTCAAAGTAATATGTGTCACCTGAGAGTGTGTCCATTGTGTTTTCGACAAGAAAAAGAAGACCCTTCTTATTATAACATTTCATTATTTATTCCACAACACTAAAACCAAAATAGAAAGTGGTGTAAAAGGTGTAAAACTGCTAGCTGAAGGTGATTCTCTGCTGTTCCAGTTTGATGATTCTCAATTGACAAACTCAACTTACCTGTCCCTCTGTCATTACAAATTGCACTGCTCTAACTGGATCATAAAGTCTTCCATCTCAAATGTGATACCTACTGTTAAACATACTCATTAAAAACACATTATTTGTGTGACATACAGAATCCGGACAATCTACAAAGCATACGTATGTGTTATTATTACAAAAACATTGATGTGCTACAACTATCTGATGAATAAATCTTCCAACTTTGTCTGTTTTCTCCCTCACACAACTCAACAAAGCCTCTTCACGCTCGTCCTCTGTTGCCCTTCCAGTTGTAATAACTCTAATTCCCTCATGCTAATGGTGCCTCGGCTCCTGCTGGGACCACCAGCCTACTTCTTGTGGTCACAGCCTGGCCCCGGGGCGAGGGGGACCACGGACTGGAGAGACAGAAGAGGGAGAGAGAGAGAGAGATAAAATAAAGTGGGAGAAAGGGCGGAACAGGGTTCTGGTTTGATGCATGTAGGGTCTACCCTCAGACAGATTGTCCTCCTCAGGCAAAAAGGACCTGTGGGTAAAAGAGGGTGTCATTGAACCGTGTGTGTGCCTGAGTGTGACATCCAAAATTGGCGCCAGCAGCAGATTTAAACAATAACACCTCGCTGTTTGACCTTACTCACAAAACCATCAGCATGGTTTGTGTGTATGTGTGCCTGCACGTGTTTGCATTTATACCCCACACCTGCATCTACATGCTAAATCTCAGTGTTAGAGGTGTGTGTGTGTGTGTGTGTGTGTGCTCCTTTGGAGGATGGGGAGGTTGTGAGTGGCAATGATGATGAGTAAACACTACAGGGGAGAATAATCCCTCATTACCCATAATTCCCCGATGCTGCACTGCGCCGGTGAGCGCGACTACATTCGTCCCACGGGCAGAAACGGGTGGAGGCACTCACTCGATTTATTAGACCATCCCAAACTCCCTGCCCCCTGCCTCCCCGCTGATTAGCATCTCCTCGTCTCTTCCCGCTCTCCCAGCCACCTGCTGTCTTCCATGTGTCCTAAATCCTCTGCACTACTTACACACTTTGTTTCTAAACTGATCAAAATGTCAAGTGAGGGATAATTCCTCTTACAAGTTCTCCATTTATACAGTGTGGTGCTGATCACTTCTCATGTACTATGAATAACAAACTGCATCATGTTAAAAGTGGATAACCCTGATTAGCATGTATCTTATCTTTAAAGGAACAGTTCGACATTTTGGTGAATAAAATAATTCGCTTTCTTGAAGATGAGATGAGAAGATCAATACCAATCTTATGTTTGTCTATTTTCAAAGTCACGCAGCCTGTTAGCTTAGCATCAAGACTGGAAACAGGGGGAAACAGCTAGCCTGACTTTGTCCGAAGGTAAAAAATTCAGCCTGCCAGCACCTCTAAAGCTCTCTGATTGACATGTTTGCTTTTGTTTTATTCACACAAAAACCCAAGCGTAAAAATGACAAGTTGTGCAGTGACCGCCTGGTATCTTGTCATCACTGTGAGGTTGCTAGGCTCACAAACTAACCATTTTACTGTTACTGTTACCAAGACATAGTATGGCATAGCACCAACCCTGTATAACTAAAACTCGTCGTTTTCACATTTCAGGTTTTGTGCGGATTAAACAAACAAAATACATTATTTCTTGGCTGTAGCTTCATGTCTAGCCGTCAGACTTGATAGTTGTATAATTTGTGCCATCTGATTTACGGCAAAAAAGTGAATAAACACATTTCATAAAATGTCAAGCTATTCCTTTATAAAAGGGACAGTGAACACCATGTATCTGTCTAAGACTATGGTTGCAGAGTTCACGGTATTAGTAAGAATTTCAGTTTTCCAAGTGGTTCCAGACTTTCTGACGATCTTGTAAACTATAACTTCTCCTCTTGTCCCATGCGCTTCTCTATAGCTTTGATTGTTCCATTGATTCTTCGCTCTCTTCCACTCTGTGACTTTGCCCTCTATTCTTCTCTTCATTTAATCCCCCTGGTACTCTTTGTGTCCTCGCTGCCTCCTTCTATCTATCCCTCTCCATCTGTGTAGCGGTGAAGTATCCATCCGTCAGAGAGAAGAAGTAGTGTTGAAATCCCGTGCCTCCCATCACAGCTCCTCATCTCTCTGTGTTAACATATAAACATATTTCAGCCTGCTTCCATGTCAGAGGCAGACGGAAGAATGCAGCATATCTTGTATCCTATTATGATTCATGATTTACGCTAGATAAATATGGGGAATGAGATGTACATCCTGAGGAGGCCCGAGGGAGCTTTTGTTGAAATTGTATTGCAAATGACAAAATAGGAAAAAAAAAATAATGGAATCTGTGGTTTGGATCCCGCATCGCCGGACCCAACACTTGGCTTCACCTTTGGATGTCCATGAATGGGTTTATCTGTGAAGAGGAGAAAAACACAGTTGTTGCAAGAAGAACTCCACAGTCATCAAGTGAAAGGATCTGTGAGATTTGTTCGATGATACCTTAAAAAGCTTGAAGTGCTTTATGGCTGCGACTCCCACTGATTGAGCAGAGATCTCATTTCACACATGAATGTCTCTCTCTGCTGTGTGTGTGTGTGTGTGCGTGTGTCCATACACTCTGTAGTTAGTGCCTTAACATTACATGTATGCTTGCCCCGGGCTATATTACATAGAGGAGGAGGAGGAGAATGGGAGAGATAGATAGTTTAAGAAACTAGAGAAAAAAAGGGAGAATGTGATAGTGAAAGACAATGAAAATGAGAAGAGAGGCATTTTCTTTGCATTTTCTTTATTTGTTGTTTAATTTGTACGATAATAACCTGCCAATATATAATACATCACATGCTCTGACTACCGGACACAGATACAGGCTTGGTACCTGCAGGCCCTCTGGGTGCTTGGGGCTAGATTTATCACCACTGGGGCCCTCTGATGATGAGGCCGTTTAGTGGGGGTCCCTGTAGTCCTCCACTGATTAGCGCCAAACATCTTCCCTAATAACCTTAACAAGAACAACGCCTCAGGACAACATGCTGATGCACACAGGCAAGTGCACACACACACACACACACACACACCTACACACACACACACACCTCTTTGGAGATAGAGAAAAGAGCTGAAGGCTACCCATCCTCCCCTCCTTCTCCTCAAAGTCACCCCTCTCTCTCCTCTGTTCCAGCCAAAACTTGGCATCTCTTACTATTTCTGGGTTGAGACCCCCCAGCTCACACCACACACATACACACACACACACACACACACACACACGCGCACACACACACACACGCACACACACACACACACATGCACCAAATTGAGTTGGTTTTGGTTCAAGAGTCCCACCACAGCATATAAAGTTGCTCTCAGCATCAACATGAAATAAAACAATACGAATATATGAATACATGCTGGAGTGCATGAAAACCCTCGCCTCTGGTCTAAAGAGATGAGGAAGGAAATTGAGAAGAACAGAATTTATGATGATGTGAGAAGCTGTGGGGGTTATTTTATAGGCAGGAACACCCTCTGTGGATTGTTTCCTTACAACAGATTACACATGTGTGTGTGCTATGGCCAGTGCATATACTGATAACATGCCCAAATGCATGGACTGCTTGCATACACACTGTCCCAGCTAGAAGACTGAGAGGAACGGAGAACAAAATAAGATTAAATATCCTCTAAATGTGAAAATTAAAATCCATGCATACTCAATATGACTTATTTTGCTTACCAAGCCGTAGCATTAAGCAATAATAACAAATGTCTTTGTTGCCAATTGTTTTTTGTTAGCGCCTTTGCCTTTATGCTGCCTTCACAGACTGCATGTAATATTGCAACTCTATGTTCAATGGACATGAATAAACTGAAAGACTGGTAAATAGGATTGAGGTCCTAATCTAATGTCTTAATTTGCTGTAACACATTGAGTTTTATTGATCTATTTTGGTAATTGCATTGGCCATTCGTCTATGACAGTCAGGCTAACGATGGCTTTTCTGGTCCAACCCCTGTTCATAGTTCTTGGTGTAGACTGGGTACACTCATACACCTTAGCATTCAGATGATATTCTTCTATAATCCAGACATTCATAGGGCTTTGCAGTCCAACAGAACATTCAAAGGTGACAGTGTTGCTATTTTTCATTATTTGGCATTATTTTTGACCAGTTTAGACACACTTTTCTGATCATTGTGAGACATTTTACGAGGTACACGTGAAGGCAGCATGAGAGTCCCGCCGTGACGTCACGGGGAGCAGTTGAGTCAGTCAGCTGAGGGAGGAACTCCGACAACAGAAAGTCAACCAGGAAACCGAAGCTACTAAACCGGCCCACCGCGTCGGTTTAACGGCGGTTTTTAGCGATAAGAATCACACAGTGTAACAGTACAGGATTTGTCTTTTTATATATTAGTCGACACAAAGCAGCGATATGGCTTCCCTTTTCAAGAAGAAGACAGTCGATGGTAAGTTTGTTCTGTGTGGAAAAAACTAGCTAAGTTGTTTTTAGCCCAGGTGTTCAGAGTGCTGTGTTGTTCCCATATTAACTTTAGCTATTCCCATTTGACGCTAACTTGTTCAACCTGTTCTGGGTCTCGCTGAGTCACAAGTCACACTGCAGACTGAAGCCTAAAAACAGCGTTAATGTAAACTTAATGTAGCTATATGTAACATAAATGGCCGCATTGACGTTACAATGTAGCTGTGAGCAACAATATGTGTTGTTCCATGTTACTTGGGTCATTTAGGTTCGTTTCCGCACACTGCTCTAATCGTTAGCTATCTGCTAACGTGAGGTCCATAAAGGAAGAAGGTGACTTCATTGCTACACAGGAGCTAAGGTTTAGTAACTGTTGTATAATGTCTGAACACAAACCGGTCACATAAACCCCCAATTGTCATTAAATGTGTGTCAAAACGTTTATTAATATGTCATGTCAAATAGATAATAGCCCTTATACTATTTGTTGACTTTTATATTTGATCATTGGATTTTATTTATTGAAATTATACCAAAGGTTACAGTTCCAACTCTCACATTTCCTGTATGGAGAAGACATACATAAAGATAACGTTACATTACTGACTCATGAGTAAAATAAAAACAACCTTATTACAAACTGTGTGATACAATTCTGTAATATAAAGGACACGCTGTTAAAATATGACCTCATATCATGCTGTCTTTGCACTTGGACGGTGTAATTTTAATCTGTAACATACAGTGATGTCTACATTTTAATCTGTAACATACAGTGATGTCTACATTTTGAGAAGCCTTTAAATTTTCGTATTTGTCTCCAGGCGCGGCAATCAGCCTCACAAGGTCAGAATGGAAAACCAGCCTCTCCTTAATCATATTTAATGAATCAATTATTCTATTTCAAATACTGATTATATTGACTCATAGGGCTGGATTAGAGGGGGGGCACATTAAAAGTTCACCTACTCTGGACCCCCCCCCCCACACTTAATTGTGTAGAGAATTCCATAAACATATCATAGTTTATTGTCTTCATGTTTAAAACTATGCTCTGTTGTTTAAGGCAAATCTTTCCACAGACCCGCCTCCCTACTCCTCCCATCATTGTCCTCCCAGTCTCACCCACACCGATCGCCTGCATACTGTACTTACTGTGCCGCGGTGCCTCCCCTCCATTCCAAGCCGTTGTCAGGTCTTCTCATTGACATTTTGCAGTTTTCCATCTCATCTCATCGTTATCGTTAACTTGTCTCATCTCTCCTTCTATGGACAGAGTTTTTTCTCGTTGTAGCCCTGGGTAGGGTGGCTGAAGTGGTTTCTGGTTATTTGGCGAATGGAGGAGGGGGGGGGTTAGATCGCACATATTTGTAGGACGATATCCCTCCCACTTTGAAACGTTGGCGGCACGTCACCATATACGTGTACATGCGTCGATCCCACAAGTGGTCCAACGCACTGACGTGTTTTGACCGAGTTAATGCCGGCTGAACTTTTCACAAAGAAGAAAGCTTTTTTTGGCAATGGTTCGCTTTTTACCATGAAGTGATATCTTCTTCTATATTATATTGCAACTTATGAATATGGAGCTGAATCAATTGTTTAGAATTTAGAATCAATTGTTCAGTTCCTCCTTTTTTTTGTTATTTTTTTTTAGATAATATACTGTCTAAACTCTACATGTCTTTCCCAGAGAACTGATTTATTGATCTGTTATTCTGTGGTCATCTACTGACATCCGTTCGTCCTGGAACAGGGATTCCTCCTGTTTTGCTCTTTTTATTTAAAGTTTTGTTTTGTTCATTTGACCTGTTGAATGGTATTTTAGGAGTTAATTTATGCTGATTCTTAACTTTACTTAATGCTAGACGATTCGTTGTGGATTAAAAATTCCTAAAACGATATTGTATATGTATTGTGCTGTGCATTGCAACATCTTAAAGCACCTCCGAATTTAAACTGAATCAGGTTTAGGTAATTTCTGATACATTTTAAGACTGTATTATTTTCTGTCATCATTGTCATATTTTCTTTTTATGGAGGACCTGAAGGGTGTGTGTGTGTGTGTGTGTGTGTGTGTGTGTGTGTGTGTGTGTGTGTGTGTGTGTGTGAGTGATTATGCGGGCTGTCCCTCACTCAGAAGTTGTGGATGAGTGTGTGACTTCAGAGTCGTACGTCAGCTCACATGATGCCACTTTGTGTGCGTGGTTTAGAGCTGACTCAATATTGGTGTGAGCTATTTTGAGACTGGACTTGTGTTACCACCACTGCACAGAGTGAAATTGTATTTTGTATATTTGATAAGATCAAAAGTTATACATGTTACCACGTAAACTGAGAGAGCGTGTGTTTGCATTTTGATATCTGGAAAGGGCACTTATGTGTTATAAGTCTTTAGTTATTGTAGCTTTCACAAAGTGTGACCTGTCTTCCTTTCTGTCTCTCTCCAAAGACATCATCAAGGAACAGTCTAAGGAGCTGCGTGGCACCCAGAGACAGATCACCAGGGACAGATCAGCGCTGGAGAAACAAGAGAAACAAATGGTGGGACCACACACACACACACACACACACACACACACACACACAGAGAGCGAAGTCTGGGGAAACAAAAGTATCTCTAAGGCATTTTCCATAGATTTCTATATATTGCATCACTGCTATCCCAACACATAGCTAGATATGCATATTACATCCTTTTCCTACAATCTGGGATTGAGTCTGATTGGCTAATGGGCCTAAATTAATAGCAAGAATGATCTGGTGTGGTGGCTTTGCTTCAGGCAAGTCAGACTCCTCTCTCTCTCTCACACACACACACGCACGCACTCTCTCACTCGCTCACTCAGAATTACACGCTGCGGCTATATTCACAGACACACACAACATTTCCCTTCTCTGAAAGATGAAAGAATCTGGCTGTTTCCTCTCTATTGTTTTAAGTAAAAATCATACAGGACATAATTACCTCCCTGGGGAACCAGATTATTATTCCTCATTAATGCTTTCCGCTAATTAGTCGTTATTTTTTTTTTTTTTTAAAGGGCTTTGTTGCATGTTTTGAATAAAAGATACTTTCACTAAGAAATGGAAATGACCTATATTAGCACTTTAGCACAATCATGACTGTCTGTTGCCCCGCCACCACCACCATGCGTGCTCAAATGTGAGTGTAAGCACACACATTCATACTGCATATAGGGCAGAAGTTATAGTTTCAATAAATCAGGTTCATAAAAGTTTGTTTCTCTTTATTTTTGTTGTTGGTTTTAGGTACATTTTAGAATATGCAGAAAACATATCAAATTGTGTGAAATTTAATTAATTAATTAAAAAAAATGTTTTTAGTCATGTGTAAACTTCACAGGAGAGTTTGATTAAAGCTGCTGTTGCAACACATTGTCCATCGATGTCCCTCGTTTATACGTTAACATTCCCAGCTCCTATACCAAGAGAAGTCCTCACAGCCTCACATTGGTGAGCTGCACTCCTTCATGTCTAGGAGAACACCCCCCCCCTCCCTGCTTTCCCGACAGGACAGTAAATAAGACATTCTATGCTTCACGTCAGGAGAAGTCCCACTGCTCTCATCTGTATCTTTTCCCCATTAAAGCATTCATAGTTTTTCAGATGACAGTGCAGTTGACATTATTATTGTCACTGTGCTCCTTTTTTTCTTACACAGCTCAACATTGTTTCTTCCCCTCCGTGGCATTCATTTGAATTTTTACTGCTCACAAAAGAAAGTAAATCCAGACTGAACCTAATGCACCTGTTCTGTGTGTGTGTGTGTGTGTGTGTGTGTGTGTGTATGAGAGACACTGAGCTGATTGGGGGAATATCCGTTGCTTCATCAAACATTAATAATTGATTGTTGTTTCCTGAAGATGCTTTCAGCTCACACACAAGAAATAAACAACACACACTGCAGCTGTGCTGAGAGGCCTTTCTAGCCGGCTGTAACCTGCAGCTCCACTCGTGTCTCTCGGGATGCTCACACACACACACACACACACACTCGTGCCCACACACAGGTTCCTGTGGGCATTAGTGTGTTTTCTGATGTTTACCAAAGCATGCATTTGCTTTGCCAGTGTGTGAGGCCTGATCCAGATGACATTATTTACTATGTCTATATTTATATAAACACAGTGGTCTCTCGGGAGCATCATGGATATACTTTGTTTGTTTATCAATGCATTGTGTGTGTGTGTGTGTGTGTGTGTGTGTGTGTGTGTGTGTGTGTGTATTATGCGTCATATGGTACAGTAAGAGGAAATCATGGAAGCACTTTGCAGGTCACATGATCAGTAGCAGTAATATATTACACAGTATACTCTGCAAAAGCCCTCCTGAACTATGAGAGTCATGGAATGTCATTAAAAACGAGTAATGCACCTAAAATGTACCTTCATGGAAGGCATCCGAGCGGATTGCCCATTCAGATCCACAGTTACCCGTAGAGCTATCGTAGAGCTATCGTAGAGTTGTCCCTGCAGTTGACTTGGCTGCTGATTTATTCCATCCTGATTGTTCGGGATCTTAATGTGGCTTTGGACATGGTTAATCTTGTCGTATTGCTGAAACGGATGGAAAATTGGCGGCGCTCACTGACACCGTAAAGTTCACAAAACATTACTTTAATGAGAAATGTATCTGGTGTGTAAGGTAGCTGCTCCGCTATGGCAAATCTGCAACATGGGCAGCCTCAAAATCCCTATTTGTCTCAATGTATGTGCTTATACACACAGTTGGTGTAAGTTAGGGTCAGGCGTTAGTGGCTGCTCCATCTGCTTCTTTTTCTGTTGTACAATATTATGGGCTCCATTGACACAATGTTCATAAATGTACCCCTCTCCCCCCCCCCTTTCAGGAGGCTGAAATCAAGAAAATGGCTAAGAGCGGTAACAAGGAGGCCTGTAAGATTCTGGCCAAGCAGCTGGTCCAGCTGAGGAAGCAGAAGAACCGCACGTACGCCGTCAGCTCTAAGGTCACCTCCATGTCTACGCAGACGAAGGTCATGAACTCCCAGATGAAGATGGCTGGCGCCATGGCCACCTCAGCCAAGGTAAGACCCCGGACATTTGATATCCACTACGTTCAACTCACTGTTAGGTGTCTTTCTGTTTTGCATAGGAACTAGTTTCAGTGTTTACTCGTAGCAATATTTTTGTGTTGTGATTAAAGTATTAATGTGTGATCTGTTCATGTTTAAAGTCTGGTGGCGTCGTTGTAAATGAAGTGTGAAAGCTGGTAATTAGCCCGGAGCGATGTGCAGTACAGAGACTTCACAAACACACACAGGTCAAATATAATTAGGCAGCAGATTAATGGAGTGTTAGAGCGTGTGTGTGTGTGTGTGTTTTCATAGCGCGAAAGAGAGAAAATGTGTTCATTGTTTTATGTCAGACATACACAGAGTTTGTTTAGACACAGATTTTCTTAGAAAATCCATTTATTAAGTGAGTAGTGCAGCACTGTCCACTCACATCAACTGCTTATGCTGAAAAAGAAGGCAGCATGAAGGTCTTGATTATTCGCTACGTTGCTGCTTCTCCTCAGTACCAGCTTACAACCTCGAGATCAACTCTCTATCCTTTCTTTTAATCATGTGTGCAGACTATGCAAGCAGTAAATAAGAAGATGGATCCACAGAAGACCCTGCAGACCATGCAGGACTTCCAGAAGGAGAACATGAAGATGGACATGACTGAGGAGATGAGTAAGGACTCGCAATACACACACACAAAGAGCTCTAGTATTTACAGGCTCGCCTAAACCAGATTGTCAGGATCTATGAGAACGGGTGTTCGGGGTTGATGAGTGTCGCAAGAAAGAGAAACAGGAAAGCACGATTATGATACAGATAGGCTTTTCCGTTTGCGTAGTGGGACCGATAGCACACAAGCAGCCACACATGCATACATTTCTCACTCTAAAGTCCAAACTGTGATCAATGTGTCCTCATCTCCTCCCTTCCTGTCTCACTATCCGTCCAGTCAACGACACTTTAGATGAGATCTTCGATGAGTCCGGGGACGAAGAGGAATCTCAGGACATCGTCAACCAGGTTCTGGACGAGATCGGCATTGAGATCTCAGGAAAGGTAAGAAATTGAGAGAGAGAGAGAGAGAGAGAGAGAGAGAGAGAGCCTTAACTTTATACTATCTTCTGTTTGAAAAACTTTAAGCCCATAGGGCAATGCCTTTTTTCATTTATCTCTTTTTAAGTGTTCTCACTACTCAGGCAGAAATGAGAGAACATAAAAGCACATTTTACACATGTAAATGATCCCCCAGCAACATGAAGTACACAGTAAATGTTCCACATGGCTTTTACTCGACTGTTAAGATGTATTCCAGCTGCCACATGGTGGGGCTAGCCTGCAGCTCTTCTAGCTCTTCTGTACTTTAGTCTGTGGAACTGCCAGGCTGCCCATCTGGTGTGTGTCTGGCTCCCCCTGGGGGGCTTCATGAGTTATTACCTCTCATAACACAATGTACAAACCCCACAAACTGTCCCATAAACAAGCCCCACAGCTGGAGAGAACAAACGGACAAGATTCCTAAAAAGCCTGCAAAACGGTTTTTAAATGTGTGTGTGTGTGTGTCGGGGGGCATTTTCATTCTTGCTTAATCACAGTAAAGAAGGCTGAGCGGAGAATTCTCTGAATGCTCTCGTTGTGTTCAACAATAAAGCTTTCTCAATCAACCCGGATTTTCATTCAATATATAATGCCGTGACAAATAACAGGTGCTGAAAGATGGCTTCAGTTTTTCAGCAAAGGTAAATTTAATAATAGTTTGAATTAAGATCCACGTCATGCACTTATGCCTTTTGGGTGGTGAGTGCCAGGTTGTTGTAACACTTTTATTATACCAGTTAAAGAGCCTTAAGCATGTCGCAGCACAGACGATATTCAACCATTAACCAACAAAACCTGCAAAGCCAAATTATCAAGGGAAGGGTAAAAGAGCGTCAAGAAGTGGTTTCTTATTTCTGTTTGTCAAGTGAAGGATGTTTGCTGCTGTCAAGAACAATGCTTGTGTAACTGACGCCCACTTGCATTAACGCTGTGGTGGGCGTAAGTCATTTAAAGGGACATCACAAAGTATTCATGCGGTATGAATTGTTTCGTGGAGTTAATCGTTTTCCAATACAATTGACAATAATTGCGATCGGAATTGAATGGGTCTTTTACGTTTGTATTATTAGTGGCAGTAGGCAGCTGTTCACAGCAGCCAATCTTACGACGAGTACCGGGCTTTGTGTGTGTGTGTGTGTGTGTGTGTTAAGTTTGAATTGAGTGTGCCTGCTAATGGGGAAATGTTCTGCCCATGTGTGTTTCCAGATGGTGAGAGCTCCAGCGGCAGGAAAGAGCCTCCCCAGCGCCGCCTCCTCTAAACAGGCCACCATCTCCGACGATGAGATAGAGAGACAGCTCCGAGCTCTGGGAGTGGACTAATGGTCTTCTCTGTATTCATGTTCACATTGTAAACTTGTGCAACATTAACACTGTTTGATACAGACTCTTTTACACACATTGGTTTTTTATCATTGTTGAAATGCTAAAGGTGTAACAAAGGGTGTACACCAACACACACACACACACACACATTAAGACATTCAAAGACATGCGGGCGGACATGTTTATTAACACGCACATAATCACACTTCCTTCGGCAGGTTGCCTTACAGATCATTTAAGCCACAACATCTGATCTATTTATGCGAAAATGATATTTATTAACATACTGGAGTGGCCACAGCCTAAAGGTGGACTAATAGTAGAGTTCTGAACCACCTATGCTGTCGTTTACTGTACCACACATCTCCGTCTGTATAAGGGCTACGTGTAGAGACCATGGGACTGGCTTTTCCCATCTTAGACGTATCATCTATCAGCTTTTACGTGGCTGAAGATGGAGGGTCTTTCCCCAGCAAGTTTTAATAAGTAAAACACTGTAATTAAAAACAGCTTAGGTGTTGTCAGTAACCAGATGGAACTTGTATTTTGCCGACTCGCACCATTTACGCGATCCACTTCCTCCGAGGCAAACCGTCCTCTTCTTCATGTGCGTGTTGTTGGGGATGAAATATCCCCGGCTGAAATGGGACACAGTAGCTTTACCATGCAAGTGAAAGGGAGACAGAGCATCAACAGCAACCTTCTCTACACAAATCAAGCAACTGGTCAACTAAGCTGATTAATGATCATGTTTTTATAAAACCCTTAGGTTCGCTACCATAGTTACTGGAGATGATGTAACTCAGAAATGTGCATGTGAGATGTATAGCTGACGAGGGTAAGGCCTTCACTTTACTTACATAAGGAAACGTTATTTACATAATGCATGGACTGATCGGAGGGCAAGCGTTTAATTTGCACCGCTGCAGATGTGATGCTGTACAGATTGTGTGGGAAAGCTTAATCAAACACAAATTAGGACTAATGTAACACCGGCATATCGAAGAGTTTTTGAATAGCTTGTTTGATGCTACTGAGTAATCAAATTAGGTTGTTTTTTTTTCAATTATTATTCTTGGTTGATCTGATTGTGTATCTTGTATTGGACATGGGGTTTACAGTGATTGTGGGATGACACTGGTCCTGCAGTCCCTCCTCTCTTTCAGCTGCTGTGCAGTTACTGTCATATGTTATTTAAGCTGCCTCACTCACAAGCATACACACACACACACTACACCATTAAAATAATAACTACACTGTGATCCGAGAGATGTTTTCTCTTCCTCGGAGCTGAAGCGTGCGCTTCTCTGCAGTGATGTAATGTCAGCCAGCGTCACGAGAAAGACACTGATTAAGTTACATTGACTCTTTGTCTCTCTCTCGCTCGCTGGCCTCTTGTTCCCACATTGACTTCCATTGCCAAAACAAATTGAAAATGTTTCCATTCTTGCATGCATCTGACATGTACAACAGACAACTCATTGCATTTTTGTAAATCATTCTTTCCACTACCTTCTAACATCTCTTCTTCTTTTGTGATTGTGAGCGGAAACAATGTTTTAACAGATTCCAACATTGTTTGAATGCAGTTCTATGCTTAGGAAATGTCCACACTTTTGTTTAAAGGTGTATGTATACTCCTCTTTTTTGTTTGGTCATTGTAAAGTGACTGTAAAGGGTTGATGGCTTTTATAAATGAATAAAGTTTCTTCAGGTACATGTTGGTGAGCCTTTATTATGTTTTCCCTTTAAAGGACTAACTCATTATTTCCATCTCTACAGACTATTTTATCTATCTTTAAATACATGTTTTAGATGTATCTTTACTACCATTCCAGACAGCCATTGGTTCCCATTCATTTCCATATGATTGGCGAGCTCTTGAAGCTTGCTCAAGTTTAATCACAACAAGCATCAATCTGCCAATATATTTTAATATCGGTAAAGGCCCCAATGTTCTCTGAACACATAAAACATAAAGACAAAAAAATAAGAGGTGTACCTTCAAGAGCTGCAGTGTTAAAGCATCTGTGAGACCAGCACTAAGAAGCCTCTTAATAGCTTTGTCTTATTCAGCGTATCTTGCCTATAACTTTCGGGCCTTAGAAATGTGTCGGCGGTCCAACGACCCTGCTGTATTTATTTCCCCTGACAGCGCTCCAGTGAGACAGCTGTACATGAATCACAGTGGAAACTGCCAGCTCCTCAATAGATGTCTTCTAGATTTATTAATGAGTCACCGGTGGCACACCCATGAATTGTACAGTTCATGCTGTACACATAACCTGACTCTCTCTTCTAATGTATGTATTATATGGGTCATAAAATGACGTTAGTAGAAGTGAGAGATGGCACATGTGTAGCTCTGCATGAAACACAGTTCTCCTTTATTACCAGAAATGAATTAAACTGATTCACCTTTCAGTGTCTGGGAACAGAAAGACAATAGCTCAGTACAAGTATAAGTTTCGCAATAACCCGCTGTGTCTCTGGCATATTTACTGTATATTTTCAATCAAGTTGAATGAAGGTATTTCAAATCTATCTGTCTACAAACTTACATAGCATCATTTCCTGCACTATAATAAAGTGGCAGTCTAATTTATATGTCTTCCAGGCACCAATGAATGGTACCTGATGTAAGCAGAACATAAAAGCCTAGATTTTGTCTGAGAGGAAATTTGTGTTTATTAAGACATTTCACATCAGTCATCTCAACCAGGTCAGAGCCGTGACTGGCTGATGTTCTTCTTTGTATGACACTTTGTCAAGGGAACAACAACAAAAGCGTAACGTCAACAAAGATGAATAATGAAGTCTATCTTACAAGAGGGAAATGGCAGACCTCAGATCCATTTCTATCCCTGACTTCATAACCATAAATCAAAGAAGTTGTACTCAGCAAAAGTAGTTCAACATAATATATTATGTATCAAATAAATAGGTTGTTGTGAAACTTTCAATATATTACTATGACCATGGCTATATCACTTTAAATAAAACCAACATTTTCCATATAAGACAGGTAATTAACACATCAGCTCACAATAATCACAAATACACAAACAAATACAACTACAACACAAAGAGTCCAGCTGTTAAATGCAGATGTAAAATGTTGGAACATTTCATCAACAATAAAGTTTCCCTTCTTTCTTGAAAATAAAAGAACGAAAGTTGAGCTAACATCTGTTAAAGGCACAGGTCTGATCTATATGTGTGTTCATCTGCACTCTGGTGCTGATAGATTGTATTTGGTCTGTGTAAGTAACTTTCAGTGTACATATAGCAAAGAAGGCACAGCTATGGTTCAGTGTATTCAAATGTCAGGTCACGGAAGCTGCTGCGTCAAACCAGCTTATGAGGCAAATGAAAAGCTTTTATCTTCAATGTTTCAACTTACAGAATGTTAGACTGGCTTTTACCGTTTATAAGTTATATTCTGAATGTTAAATCAGTTGAATTGTTTCAAATGCATCAGCAGCTGCTTGATGCAGAATGAGGACAGCTTTTGTTATTGGGGGTTTTTCTGTTTCCTATCTGATTTCTGTCAGACTTTTGATTTGACGATAACACTATTTCACTAGCTGTGATCATGAGCGAGCCTCCATCAGGCTGGAGGTGAACGGAAACTCTAGCTGAACCGTATAACTATGCCATTGGTCTTTATGCTTTACTCATCTGTGCAATGCAGTGTGGACCGAGTTTGTTCAAACAGGAGCTGAGGTTGAGACTGGTTTTGACCCGTTTCTCTCTTTGGCGTCTGTTGCAGAACCAGACTCTGACAACCTCCTTCTCCAGATGGAGGCCTTTGGCTATCCGGGCTATTTCCTGGGAGGATGGCTTACTTTTTTCCACAAAGCTGTGCTCCAGGGCCTCCTTAGCTCCAAGGCTGCAGTGGGGAACAAGGGAGAGAGAAGAAAAGATGAACTGTATGTTATCAAAATGTCATCGTATGATATGCGTTGTATCTTTGCTCCTTATAGTTTAGGGGTCGCCAACAAGTAGGTCGCAAGCTGCCAGTTTCTGAGTGGCTAGCTAAAGGTTCAAAGAATATGTACATACATTTGATGACACAAAGTTGCTTTGTAAAACTGTTTAATTTTCTAACCACTCAAACTCACAGACGCTCCGCCCCCTTCTGACACCAAATGATTATTACTAGCTCTCAGTTGTAACGAGTTACACTGCTTTCAAGTTTGGTTACAGGGACATCATAACATTAGGCGATGTTAGCAGACTAGCAAGCAGACACCAGATTTAACAATGACCGCGGAAAATAGCCAGGCCAATAAAAAGCAAAATAAGATGAGTAGACCAGGTGTGTCTGCAAAGACCACTGCTGTATTGTGGTTGAATGAATACAATCCACAATTGGCTAACCCCCCTGTTTAAACACTAATGGCCTGTAAACTTACCAAGCAGTATGCCCGCTTAGCAGCGGCTGAGTGGTGGTGATATAACAAACTGGGGAAGAAGGCCAACGCCCTTCACCTATGTCAGGATTGTAATAGAGGCAATGACTGCAGTGGCCGAAACATTATTAAAGGACCATACAAGTAAGACACATGTTATGTCTGCGTTTGGCGATGTAAAACCTGGTGCGATGAGCAGCACCAAATTAGCTCTGGGAGGAAAAAAGGTCGGCGACCCCTGTTATAGTTGGTACCTGATAGTTGTTCTCCTTTTCCTCTTGCGCTCATTCATTCCTATTTTATCATTGTACAAGGCTGCAGGAAGGACAAAATAATATGTTGTTAGTGTTGTTACTGCTCACAGCTCACTGTGTGTATGTAAGGCAAACAGGTTGGTAACCTCTGTCCTAGACGATGTACAAGCTGGTGTTAGATCTTCGTAATCATGCCAGGAAAGCATGGCTATAATACAGTAATCTCCAGCAGATCATAAAACACTGACTCAAAAGTTTATTTGCAACTTACACTGACACAATTTTTTAGCTCATAGAAATTAGACATCCAGGTAAAAGATTGAGGTTTAATAAATGCCCTAAATTGGGATTGATGGAATGGAGTATATGTGTGTGACTCACCACCGGCCAGCTCAGCTTCGTCGAGCCATTTAGCCAGAATAGCTTTGAGTTTGCAGGCATTCTTAAAGCTCAGCTGCAAATTTTCAAAGCGGCAGATTGTGGTCTGGCTGAACTCTGAGCCGTGCACTGCAGCAAGAGCCTCACCTACATTAGTCTGTGTGTAGCCTGGAGGTCAAAAGAAACCAAAACACTTCATGGAATACCCTCGAGCAGAAGAAGTGCAAAAGCAGAAACATTCATGGTGAGGTTCTCTAATTGGTGCACTTGGTTTGTGGGCAAATTTTCAGCTGTAATTATTATCATCACTTAGTGATGATACTCACCCAGTTTGATCCTCCGTATTTTGAAGTCATTGGCAAACATCTCCAACTCTCGTATCTGCGGGGAGTCCATGGCCGGGGCATCTTCTGGGTCCCGCATGGTCTTCCTTTGGCCATCAGTTTTCATCTCTCCAATACTATGGCCCCCAGGGACCTCATCAGTGGAGAGGAGGACCGGGGGAAGTGAGGAGAAACCATGGCTTATTGCACACGAACCACTACTTAGACCATGATCCGGAAACTTGTACAAGCAAGGAGTAAGAGACCCTGGGGGGGGAGAGAGAGAGAGAGAGAGAGAGAGAGAGAGAGAGAGAGAGAGAGAG